CACTTCCACCCAAGTGTCAATGCATCCATCGGAGTCATCTTTGAATTCTTTTGGCTTCTTGAATGTTTTTCTTGATTTTCCCTCTCTCCTGTCGCTCGAGTCAGTGTTCCTCGTGGCGAAGGCCTCTAGAGTCCTGTTCATCATCTCCCAAGTGCTGGCCCATGTCATAGCATCCGGTCCTGAGTTGCTGTTGGCTGTTGAATCTCCCGGACCAGTCGTCGTGTTCGACGTTCCACTCTTCATTATTGTTTTCGCAGCTGTTGGTGCTATGCTTATCGCATCCCTGGGTATGGGCAACGGTGTCGATTGCCGTTTGTTTCTTTGTGGTTCTACAAAATCAACTCTGGTGCCTTGCGTACGATCCGCTGCCGGTCTCTCTTGTGGTGTAGAACCTCTCAAGATTGCATCCAACTTCGCCTGTATTGCACACGAACTCTCTGCTTGACTCTTGCTCATTGTGTCCATTCTCCTTTCCAGGCTCCCTAATTGGCTGTTAACATCATCATATCGGTTCTTCAACTGTTGCATGTCTGTTTTGATGTTCTTTTCTCGTTCTTCATTGGTGGCCTCTACCTTGTCTGACATTTCCTTGAGTCTCTCCTCTGTTGCCTTAGCTAGGTTAAAATAACTGTCTAGATACTCGTGCTTGTTGTATCTTATCTCCTTTTTTATCACCTCTCTGTCTTCTTCACTGTTCTTAAGTCTTTTGTCGATCTGATTTAATTTCGCCAACAAATCGCCCAGCTCAATGGTAGTCTCTTCATGGTCAGCCGTGGGTTTCTCTTCGGCCATAGCCTCTGCTTTAGCTTGTTCCTCATTCTGGCCGGTTTCTGTCGCTTTCGTGCTCACTGTACCAAATGTTCGTGCTCTTTCTGCTTTTGGCTCTTCAGTCACGTTTTCTTTCGTTTTTATTCCGAACATTATTCCCAATTTTTCCGTAAAAGATGTCCTCTTTACTTGAGAGTCTTCTTTCACCGTTTCTTCGGTGTTGCCTATTGCATCTTCCGCGTCATCTATCGGTGAGAACTCTATGGGTTTCTGGTTCGGTTCCTCTGTATTGGGCATTGGAGTTGACTCTGTCGCCATCTTCCCTGTTTCATCCACACTTTGATCGGGTGTCTCTAGATCAATCTCGATGGTGGGTTCTACTCTCTCCCCTTCCGTGCCCTCTTTCGCCCTGTTCTCCGCTGTACTCCTTGTGCTGACCATGTTAACTGAAAAGTTCTTCTTTGTTATCTTCGGACCCATTGGTGTTGCTTTGCTTAGCGACGAATTATACTTTGCTTCGGTCGATCTTTTTTCAGCTACCGGTACCCTGCTCCGCCTCATTATTTACAATTGTTATTATTTACAATATTATTATCTACAAAAATTCTATTCTAAGGTTTAAAAACTCCAAGGAAAAAGAAATTAATAATTCGCTAAAAACAATTTTTCTTGAACTCTTGTAAGCTCTTTCGTGTTAGGTTAGGATAGGGAACGTGTTGAACGTGTTGTTATACTTGGTGCTTCAACCTAACCTATTACTTTTGTAGTACCCCCTTCCTAATGCTGTTCCAAGACTTTCTCTTTACCGTCCCAAGACCGTTCAGCGTTGTCCCAGTACTTCTCGTTGGTACCTTTAGACCAGCGTCCCAAGACCAATGGCCCAAGGCTAACGTCCCAAGACCAACGTCCCAAGACTAACGTCCCAAGACCAATGTCCCAAGACTAACGTCCCAAGACCAATGTCCCAAGACTAACGTCCCAAGACCAATGGCCCAAGACCAACGTCCCAAGACTAATGGCCCAAGACCAACGTCCCAAGACTAACGTCCCAAGACCAATGGCCCAAGACCAATGTCCCAAGACTAACGTCCCAAGACCAATGGCCCAAGACTAATGTCCCAAGACTAACGTCCCAAGACCAATGTCCCAAGACCAATGTCCCAAGACCAATGTCCCAAGACCAATGTCCCAAGACTAACGCCCCAAGACCAATGGCCCAAGACCAATGTCCCAAGACTAACGTCCCAAGACCAATGGCCCAAGACTAATGTCCCAAGACTAACGTCCCAAGACCAATGTCCCAAGACCAATGTCCCAAGACCGCTTCGTACCAAGACTGCTCTGGTCCAAGACTGCCCCAAAGTTGCACTGTCCCAAGACTGTGTTGCTCCAAGACTGTCCCCAGACTGCAATGTCCCTAGACTAGTTCGGTACTGTCCCAAGACTCGTTACTGAGTGTCTGGATATAGGATTTCTTTCTTCTTCGTTGTAGGGACTCCTTGGTTGTCTGTACCTTGTACCACCACTCAAGCTCTAGTGAAAATTTTCCCAAAAACCCTCTCTTGGTTGCCAAATCTGGCCCCCCTTTTTTAGTTACCTCTTTTTGAATGTTCCCAGCAATTGGGAGCCACAACTTGTGTGCAGGTATCTTGTGATCACCTGTTTGTATTAAAAACCAATCGCAAATCTTCCCCAAAACGCAACAATGTCTATAGAAAAAATAAAATTCTGTACCGAAAAAATAACAAAACAGAGTAATCGACCCACCTAAAATTCAAAGGAGACAAATGTCAACCTTCTTTCAAAAAAAATGTCTGGTACCTAATTGCCACGCGTTTTCCTCCCCCCACTAGTCGTCTTATGAGGTGTCACGAAAACTGTCTATATCCGTTCCCCCCTACCGATCCAACCAGCGTACCAATCTTAACTCGAGATAAGTTTTGGATGTCCACCTATTGTTACCACGCGTGTTGATGGCTAATGTAACTAAATCAACGATGTCGATTAACTAGTTACTCTAATTCCCCCCTTTTTACAATTTACAATCGCCAACCTCTAACTTAACCAGTCCCCCTGCTAACCTCCCCCCTGTTTAGCCCCCCTCTTAAGCCGAAAAATCCCTTAAGCGCCGGGTGCTAAACCTCTCTTGAGAAAACCGTAGACCTGTTTCCAGGTCTGCTTGAGTAAAAACTGCCTCAAAACAATGGGACTCCGCTTATCCAATTTTACACTTATTTCTTATAATGTAATGTGGATTCTAACGATACCCGTTGTCCGACCTGAGAACACCCTTGTGCGTCCTCTTGTGGTGGCCCTGTGCTGGTTGTCTCTGTTCTGCCCTTGACAGCAGACCCACTTTCCCACTCGACTGGTCACCTCTTCCAATCAAGTCTCTTGGTGGTCCGTTTCGATCCTTGTGAACCTCTTTCCCACTCGACTGGTCACCCTTTCCAGTCAAGTCTCCTAGTGGTCCGGTTGGGTCGCAATCTATCTAAAAACCCTTAACAACGCCCCCCACTCGGGCACCCTACCAAGGTCACTGCTAGTTGATCGAAAAATTGCTAGATTGATCGAAACGATCGGTCTTGTAAAACAGTATGTGTATACTATTTAATTAATACAAAGGTTCGATCCAACTAATTTGGTATCAAAGTCACTGTCTTTTTTCGTTTTATAGTTTTTGTTCCTATTTGTTTTCCTTTTTTGCTCGTGTTTTTGTCCCCCTAGTTGCCCCCCTTTACTCGGTTAGCTAAGCCTCGTTCGGAGAGCGTACCAGGAAGTTTTCTTGAGTTTTCTTAAAAAGCTATCACGGTACAACCGGAAGGTTTACACGTTCCCGCTGAACCGTACCACCGGTACTCTAGAATGGGCATGTAGCCCGGAGCTGTGTCAAGTGGGTTCGACTCCGTAGTCATGATGTCGTAAAAACACCCAGGAGCGCCATAAAAACACTATGTAACAGTCGCCTACTTTAGTCACATATGAGGCTTAAGAAAAATAGGCCCTATAACCATTGGCTCAAGAGTCAGGGACACTATCTCTTGTGTTTTTCCGCCTCAAGAACGGTCGGAGCCAATTCGGTTCGCTTGCGACATGAGACTGGAACCCATTACAGCTTAAAGGCCACTACCAAAATACCCCCCCACTCTAGAAATAGAAACGTCCCCATACTTAGGTCTCGGAATACCCAAAATACATGAACGCCATTAAAAACCGGGTCGGAACCATCCGCTTAGTTACTTTTTATTGGACAGTGGAACTTTGATCCATTTCAGATGGATCAACCTAAAACTCGCCTTATCTCAACATAACTATCATAAAATGCACTCGAGAAATTTAAATTGGAACTTACATATCGACGCACTTGAGTATGAGGAGTGAGTTAAAGATGAGCAGCTTGAGAATTAACTAATATAACTAAATAAGTTTTAAGGCCAATTAGTTTCAGTAACGAAAGTAAGTTCTGTCTCAAGAATTGAAGTTTTCGTTTGGACCATTAGGACACTCGAGTAGTCCTCTATTCCGTTGAAGGTCCACACTATTCCATTCGAATAGTGATCCTTCCTCAAGTCAATGTTGTTTTCTCCTGTTTTCTGGATAAGACAGCTCTACTCTCTTGATATTTCGTATCGAGAAATTGCGAACAGCAATTTCCTGCCTTTTTCTTGAGTAGTTTCCCGCTCTTGTTAATTCGGGTGTTCTGATTTCTGACTTTTTCATTTTCAGTTGGTTCGAGAAAATTGAGCATGACATGCTCAATTCGAATTTTGCAAAATTAAAATTTCACTCCAAAATTGCGTATTTCTCAAGGTCAAACCCCTAGACATGACCGACTGGCACACAAAGTCAAATTACCTGTTCTTATTGAAGAAATGTAATTCCTATCGAGTTTAATTTTAAACACAACAACTAATCGTCTTTTTATTCATTTTGATTTCCATATCTAGAAAATTTTAGGCTTTTGACTGGATAATGTGATGAAAGGACTCCTGACCTGACTGTAACTTCGGTTAATATGATACTTCTGAATAGATACTATCTTCTGAATAGATACTATCTTCTGAATAGACTAAAGTATAAAAATTGTTTTCATGTATTTTCCTTCAAATATTCTGTATGACTGGCGCGTAATTATCATGTAAGCGAATTTCTGTTTTTAAAGCTCACTCCGTTATCGCAAAAAGTTCGAAGCCCTTTTCTGCCGCAGTTAAAAATTACATTTTTGTCTCGATCCGTTTTGCAGTTGCACCTGTTCATTGATAAATTTTTTCTTATTAAGACTGGTCATGGATATTGCTAGAACTCAGTCAAATCCGTTAGGGTTGTCTGAGTTCGAAATGCAAGATGAAGGTTGGCCAACTGACGAGGAACTGGAAGTCAGCTTGGAAGTTCTCTCAAGTATGCCGACAAAGAAATTAACAACTGATGATTTCGAAGTTGGTGCTCCTTTGGGAAGAGGAAAGTTTGGCCACGTGTACCTATGCCGCGAAGTTGTTTCGAAAGTTCCCGTGGCTGTAAAAGTTTTGTTTAAAGCTCAATTGATGAAGTATGGTTTGGAGAACCAATTAAGACGTGAAATCGAGATCCAAAAAAAGCTGAGACATCCAAATATTCTGGAAATGTATACATTTTTCTTCGACGATAAAAGAATTTATTTAGTTTTGGAGTTCTGCACGACTGGAGAGCTCTACAAAGAACTTAACAACAGGGGACAGTTCAATGTTAAAGATACATGTACTGTAATTGGACAAATTTCAGACGCTCTTGATTATTGTCATCGAAATGACGTCATTCACAGGGATTTGAAACCAGAGAATATTCTTCTTGATGAACACGAAGAAGGAAATGGATATTTTGCAAAGTTGGCGGATTTTGGTTGGTCGATCCACTCCAAAAGTCACAGATCAACAATCTGTGGAACCAAGGATTATTTACCCCCTGAGCTGGTCCATAAGAAAAAGTATGACCACAAAGTTGACAACTGGTGTGTTGGCGTACTTTGTTACGAACTGATGTTCGGTAACACCCCGTTTCATCAAGCGTGTGACTCGGAGACGATGAAGAATATAACAAATGTTCAGTATACTTTCCCTCCTTATTTCGAAAGTGGTGCGAGAGATTTGATTGGAAGTCTTTTGAAATTCAATCCAATTGAGAGACTTGAATTGGAAAAAGTGGTGTGTCATCCCTGGATCAAATCCAATGCTAGCAACCTTCCGGATGGAAGCTGGAGATTGAAATGACTAAGTTATTTTCAAATTGGTCAGAAATGCGTAATTCCCATTTAGTTTTGAATAAAGAATTGACTTATTTTGTGATTTTGTGTGGAATGAATTTGTATTCATTTTGAGTTTGTAGTAGATAAAATTTGCGTTTGTGAGAAATGTGATTGGTACAGTTTCGATCGCTCAATTTAATTTGTGGTCTAGAGTGTTTCTTTTCACCTGATTGGAGATACCTCCAAGAACGTTCAGATGGTGTAGAGTTTCTACTAAATATCTTTGCTGTATTTCACCTGCCCTAAAGATATTTGCCTTCAGTGTATAAGAACGTGATTTTCACATAGGTCTTGATGTTTTTTGTTTTTCAGAAAGTTTTTTAAATTTGTTCACACTCAAAATTAATAGTTCGTGGTTTAATTTTTGATTTCTTTCTTATTTCAGTTGATTTCCTTTGTCAAACTCCACTATCGAACAGCAAAAGTCTAAAAGCCACGAAAAACTTGATCGACTTCTAGTTCCTAAATGGACTTTAATTTTTTTGATTTTCAAGTTGTTTGAAAAGCTTGCCTCCACATCCAGTTTTCTCTGATTGCGATAAATTATTTTAAAAAATGACAATCATGAGCGATGAGCATTTCTTGAAGTTTAACGTTTTTTTTTCAAAGAGCTTAAACGTTTTTTTTTTCATCTTTTAAATTCGAAGGTTGAAAATGTCAAAAGATTTCAATTAAGTCTGGTAGGTTTCCTGGAGTTCTTTTACGCTTTTCCAACCAACTGTTGACTTTGTTGTGATATTTATTGTTTAAGTCGGCGAAAATGTAGTGTATTTTTTATTGACGTTTAATTGATTTCGTAACACAAGCAAGCGCTTGTGTTATAATTACCCTTGCGATAAGCAAGGGTATTACAATAGTGCACAAGACTTTTTTTCCCGGAAATAACCTCGCTCACAAGCTGACAGGACTCATCTGGACTCATCTCTAGCGGTACCTTGTTATCAAATCGGATTATAGACTTTTTTGCGGGGTAACAATTTGTGTAACATTATCACTTGAATCGTTTGGTATCTTGGTTTATAATGATTTCAAATTTCTAAGCGTTTCCGGCGCACTTAGTCTGGAGGCATTGAAGACGACTGTGACGTCAAAGGTCCTGGTTTTGAATCTGACCAGGACTTTTTGCTTACGGGAAATTTTCCGTTTCAATCGTCGTATAATTTGTCTGCGTTTGTTTTGTCGTTATGCATGCTTAGTAACCACATATTAAATTTTTTTTTGCCGTATGCAGTTTTCATTGTAGTTACTTTTTATGTTTTCATTTTCTGCAGTTTGTAATTCTACTTGCCTTGACTTTGTATATATTTTTTTTCGCTTGAAAATTTTTTGGTTCTAAATGATTTCGGCATAAATTTTATCGTCTTACTAGCCTAATGTTGAGTCCTTCGAGGGAACCACAATTTTTATGCTTTCCTCCGGATTGCACAAAACGTTGAAATTCTCAGAATTTAAGTTCAAAGTGTTGAAAATAATTTCAGGCAATATTTTTTAAGTTTTTTTTTCAATTGTGTTTTCTTCGAAAATTTTTGTTCCGTTTTCTTTGGAGTTAGTGGCTCTGCTTTCGTTTCCTATCTGCTAGCTTGCAATGCTATTGTTGTGATATGGCAAGTGATGTGAAACTCCGCTTCGCATCTGTTTCTCTATAAATTCAATTTTTTTTAGCTCTCCCAAGCCAGCGTTCGAATCTGACTTGGACCTGTTTTTTTTTTCAAGCGGTAAATGTTCTGTTTCACATAAAACTGTTGGCCAACTATTTGTCGGCACTTATTAGTTGCCACATCTCGGAATCGCTTTTTTTTGCTGCGCGCATTTTTCTTAAAGGTTGCTTTAAGTGTTTCATTTACAAATTATTTCGGAATATTTGTTATCGGCTGAGTACCTAATTTCGGGTCGTTTCAAGGGAAACATACCTTTTACTCTCCCCTCCGTACTTTTATTTTGGTTGTATTTTTATCACTCGGTTTGTTGAAATTCAATTTGTTTTCTTTTTTTGACTTAATATGTTTCGGCTTGTTTTATATCGTTTTAGTAGCTACTTTTTTTTCTTGTTTGCTGCTCGAAAAAGTTTGTGTGCCTGTGTGTCTTATGAATAGAGGGGGCTTTAGCCATTTTCATTAGTTTTGAGTTTAAAAAAAGTCGGCTTAAAGAGTTTCTGCTCACGTGTTTTCGGATTTGTCACAGCTTGGTTATATTTATCCGATGCTAATTTTTTTGGGCATGTTTTTCGTTTTGATAGATCTAGTGGTATCGCAAGTATTGCCAAGCTCAGCTTCGTCGCTATGTACAAGGTCACTCTTTTACATCCTAACTCGTATAAATTATGCCCTGTAAAAGCGCTCAATTTCTGTATGAGATCACTGTTTATGTGTTTGTTCCGGTTTTTCGTTGGCTGTTGGTAAGAAAACAGGAAAGCATAAGTCAAGACAATAGAGCTGAACTTCTTTTCAAAGCTTATTGCCCTTGCTACAAACAAGGCTAATGCAATCCTTCACTATAATATTTTCCCTGCCACTAACTTTGTTCACTAGTTAATTTTTGTGGAATAATGGTTGAAGTGAAGACGTATTTTGGTCATGTTTTTTGGAACTGTTTTTGAAAATATTCTTAATTTAAGGTTTTACTGAACCTGGAGATTTTTCAGTGCTAATGAATGTTGTTGTGAGGCTACTTATATAGTTAGAGTTGGTTTGTTTTGTTTTTCAGGAAAGTGTTCTAGTTCATGTTTGATATTTCGCGGCTTAACTTTTAATTTCTTTTTCAGTTCAATTCAATTTTATTTGTTGAAATGAAGACAGTTTACGCTCTCGATATAATCTTCAAGTGCAAATGGTGAGAAACACGTGGATGTTTTCTAGGTTCGTAAGTGGATTTTTCAATGGAATGAAAACAAATAACCTATTGACCCAGCTTTCACTAATTGGGGGAGTTAGTAAAAAAAAATTGAGATTTTGAAAGCTTCAAGGTGATGAATTTATTGAAAGATGCTTAAGTGGTGAGATTTCTTTACACTTGCTATAATAGGCGTGTTACACCCGGGTAGGAGACGTTTTTCCTTAAAGAACGTTGATCACATGATGACTTAAATTGGCGGTCATGGGTCATCTACCAATCTGTACTTTCGTCAACCAACAGAAAATTGTTGAAAATGTCTGCGTTTTAAATACCTGTTTTACTCGAAGTTCGTTTTTGTTAGTTGTAATTATACCAACTCGATTAGTTTAAATTTAATTTCCGTTTTTTTTTCTTTTTCGGCTTAATAGATTTCAGCATGTATTAGATTGGCTTAGTAGCCTCAATTTGCTCAGTTTACCAGCGAGAAATTTTTTTATTTTTGGATGCGTAAATTTTGAGGCAGAGAGGGATTTTTAATTAGATTTCAAGTCTTTTTTATTTTTTTTGGTTTAAAGGATTTCTGAATTGTTCAGCCGGGTTATGGCTTGGTAAGTTTTGTTCCAATGCCAATTTCAATTTTTTTCTAGGCATGTTTTTTTCAAAACTAGCTTGATTCTTTTTGATAGGTCTGGTCTTTTCGATTTCTTTTTGGACTCAGCGTCTATCTTGTCACGTATCGCAAGTAGTGCGATACGAATAAGGGGTAATAAAATATGGACTTCTTAGTTACTACTTTGTTGACGAAATAAATTGATCTAAATAAAAAAAAGTAAACCAATTCCAATTTTGAATTACTTCACAACTTTTCTCACAAATTCTGTCGACGTGCTCAATTTTGCTTACATGCACAATTCCGCTGGCATGCTGAACTCTGATGTCATGCTTAAAGGCAGACACGCTCAAATTGTTGAAAATTCAAACAAAACTGCCTCTTTTTTGGATTCGCGTCTTTCGTTCAAGTTTCTGTTCGCTTGTTTTCTGTTTTTTCCAAATGCAGTTTAACTTATCTGGTACGCTTTCTAGAAATATTTTTGCAGTGCTTGGGGTTTTTATTCAAACAATTTTACTATATTTGAAAGTTGTTCTGTAGATGGTTTAGTTACCAAATTAAATATCTATTAATTTAATTGATAAATTTTTGGTTAAACGGCTTACGTTATATCGCTTTTGTCAAATTTTGTTGCGTTAAAATGCTTCTGGGCTGGTTTTTAAACTGCGTCTGCCAATGTAAAAATTTAATTGCTTTTGGATTTATCAATGCGTCAACCCAATTTTTTTCGCCCGTAGTTGCCGCTCGGTCATTGCTTCATCATGATTTTAAAGGCTGTTTATGAACCTCGTCCAAGACAAAGGTAGGATTTTGTAGATTTTTTTTGTGGCTGCGCTTCGACTCGGTGGCAATTTGGGAAATTAACAGTATGAATAGCTTTTAATTACCTAGATTTTTCTCAGTCAATATATTGTTCTGCGTGTTTGAAGTGCATTTTTACGCTTGCGTGTAGACTTTTTCGAGTTAAAAACTAGTTTAACAGAATCACTTGAGTCATTTTAAACTTTGATTCATCTGATATCAAATTGAGAAGTTTTTTTTTCGCACATGTGCCGAAGATTTAACGCGCCTGACTATAGAGATAAAGTTCAATGGTTCGAATCCGGTCAGGACCTGTTTTTTTGTGTAAGTGGAAAATTGTCGGCGCGTCAAAAACTCTTTGACGGACTTCTGTTTGACTGATTTATTGTCGTCTTAATTATCTTAATTACCGCAGCACCAAGTTCATCTAAAATTTGGGTAATTTTAACTCCAATTAAAAAGCATTTCAGCCTATTCCGGTTTTGGGCACCTAGTTGAGCTCCAAAAAGTTTTGCTACTTTTTTATTTTTTCATGCTGCTTTAAAAATGTTTGGAAGTTGTTTTCTTTCTAAATGCAAGTAGTGTTCTTTGCATTTATTGCATTTATAAGATCCATGTTTGAGATGACAAATACCAGAAGTTCAGTTCCTGTTTTTTTTTTGGAAAATGAAAATTTTCGAGTTCTTTTAGACTTTTTGTCTGCTAATTTTTGTCGGCTTAGGTTCTGATGAAAAGTTTGGTTTTTTCAAGGTTTTTGAAAGCTCTTTGTAAAGTTTGTAATGGTGCAGGTTGTTTTGTTTCCGGAATTACGTGTCATTTTTTTGCAGTTTTTATAATATTTTAACAAAAAAAGAACGATGTTTTTGAAGATCATTTTCAATTTTTGATTTGTCTTTTGAATAGTTAAAAGGAAAATGGCGCACAAAATGTGCTTCAGTTTAGGCTTTATAGAGCAGCGGATTTCAACAGACATCTCTAACTGCAGATATCGTCTGTGATCGATTTGTTTTATGACAAAAGTGATAATCAGGAAATGTTATCTCGAAAGTAGAAAGGAGGACTCCTTCTGCTCATGAATTGAACCATTAATTTTCAATCATGAAAATAGCGTATGTTTGTACAGTGCATTTTGTTCAGTTTCTGTTTTTCAGTTTCTGATTTTTCCCACAAGTTTGGATTAATTACACTTGTGAGAGCGAGTGTCTTGTAATTGGGAACTAGGTTTTTTCCCGTAAACAACTTAAGACAAGGTAAAGACAGTAAGTAACACAGAAAAAAATGAAGTTGCTTTATTAGTGAATTTCAGCAACTTTGATACTTCCCAATTGGCCTTGAGGAAACCCGTTTGCCTTTGTACAGTAGTTTTTGTCGTAGATGCAAGTGTTTTTGATTTACTCCTCTGATTTGTAAAATTAATATCACTGACCGTGTTTATTTTCGTTGTTTTCTGTTTAATTTTTTTTCTTCATTTTTTCGCTTTAAAGTTGCATTCGGCCTAAATGTTTTACGCTTTTATTGATTATGCTATTTTATTTTGTGTTGCTTCAAAAGCAAAAAAATCATAGATTTTTTTGAAAGAGCAGGTGGTTTGTGTTGCAACTTTTTAAATTATATTAGTTCGAATTTTTTTTATGGCAACACTTTATGATGATTTTTTCTGTTTTCAGCTCAATGGCGTCTACCCCCTCTTGCTGGCATAGTGACCGCTTGCCTAGAATTACTGTTTGATGAAAAATTATCTTGAAAGTTAATGTGAGTGGGTTTATTTTTTTAAGACTCTTTGGAAATTTTTCATTTTTTTTTGCATAAATTTTTGTTTTTCTCTAAAACTTCTATCGATTTTCAAAAAAGAGTATCAATAGAAAAACGACCTACTCTCTTGTCTGTCTGCATAATATTCTAATGCATTTTTAGTTGACTGCACTGTCTACATCCTTCGAAAAACTACTTTCCCAAATCTTAAGATTTAGATTTCAAGGGTTAGAACGGGTTGTGAAAAACTGCTCTGCATTAGCAGCTATCCCCAAATCTTTTTTACACAAAAATTTGTGGGACTCGGAAAAGTCTATGATTTGTTTTTTGACCGGTTTTTGAATGTTTTTGACTTTTGTTCGTAAATTACCCTCCCAAATCAGACGGTTAGCTCACTGCGGATAATGAAAAGTAGCTTTTTCGAATCCAAAAATTAGTTTTGAAACCAATTATCATGGCGACGATTTTATATTCCAACAGTAATGCCTTGAAGATTGCGAACAAACGATTATGACAAATCAAGGTCGAGTTTCGACCCAGAGACGAGCTGATTGCTGAAATTTGAAAACACTAGAGTTTAGTTGATCGAAATGCCATTGGCAAAATTTACTATTCCTTGCCTCGACGCATGCGAAATTAATGAAGATGTTCTGGCAATTAACCAAATATTTTACCTTTAAAATCAATTTGTTCCATTTTTTTTCGTCTGTGACAGAAAACCAGTAATTGACTGTCTCTATTCCTCATTTTTGCTCAAAACGGTATTAACTTGGGAGAACTTAACAAGCCCAATTTCCATTATCTTGGAAGACGTAGAAGTCTTGTTTTAATTTAAAGGCTGGTTTGAATGGTTTTCTATCCATCCATTATTTAATTGGCGTTTCACTTGACACATGTTTAAGAAGTCCCTATGTTGACATGCTTAAGATTTTTCAACATATTGTTTTTTACATGTTTAACGATAGAATTTTCGCACGTTTAAGGTATATCGTATATTTTAATGCTTAAGAATTTTCACTTGGCACATGTTCAAGCAGTCGCTTTGTTAGTCTGTTAAAAGTCCAAAACATTGCGAGGATCGACATTTTAAAATCTGTTGGAGAGGGAATGATTTTCCTACACTCGCAATGTGAAACTATCAATCGTAACTAATTAAACCTCGAACCAAAATAGGCAGAGCGGTCAATGTAGCTACGCCATTTTAAATAAAGGACCTTCAAAAACAAGGATAGCCGGTTGCTGTGCAAGTAGCACAAAGTTCCGACCATAATAAAAAAAATTTTTTTTTCTCTTCAAATTCCGCGTTTTTTGTTCGTGATGTGTTGAAATAGCAATAGCAAGTTTCTCACAGAATAAATAAAAAACTCAAAAAAAATATAAAAGTGTTGTAAAAAAATTCTAAAACGAATTTCACTGGATTAGAAATAACTTTTCGCGGCTTTATTTGATTTTTAGGACTACTAGTATAATCCCTTATAAGACTATTTTAAGTCTATTATATTCGCTTTATTAGCTTGAAACAAGACTAATTATCATGCTTGATTTTAGCAAGTGTTATCAAATCGGAATATAGACTTTTTTCGGGTTACCAACTAGTTTTACAAAATCAGTGAATCATTTGTGCAACATTCAATTCTGCAGCAAACATGCTCAATTTCTTGAAAATTCAAATTGAATTATATAAAAAAGTTGACGGCTACTAAGGGCCTAGGCTTGAATCTGGTCAATACCTCTTTTTTTTTAAAGCCCACAGTATAAAATGTTAAAAAAATCATCGCCCTACCAATTGCGTGCTTATGTTTTGTCGGCTTAGTTTCCACATTTCTTGCCTTTCTTGTGCTATAGGCTAAATTTATTGTAAATAAAAATAATTTTGGTTCTTTCATCATTTTTGCGATAAGCAAGGGTATAGCAATCAGGCACTAGACTTTTTCCATAAATAACTTTGTTCACAGAATTGTCAAAGTAAGAATTCGACTTATTATTTGTCTGCTTATGTTTTGTCGGCGTAGTTGCCTTATCGTATAATTGTTTTTTTTCTATACGCAGTTTACGTTGAAGTTGCTTGCTCTTAGGGTTTTGATGTACTGCGACTGTGTGTAAATTCTTGATTTCGTATTTTTTTCGCTAAAAGGTTTTTTTCAGCGGAAATGATTTAGGTTTGCATTTTTTCGGCTTAGTGACCTAATGCTTAGTCGTTTCATGTGAAACGTAGTTTTTTGCTCTCCTCTGCATTTTACATATTGCTAAAATTTCAGTAGAATTAGTTCTTCAATTTTTTCATGACGAAATGTTTCTTCGGCTTTTTTGTTTTTTTTTCTTTTCATTTTTTTTCGGCCTGATAGGTTTCGGCCTATATTATATCGAATTAAAAAAGTGTGTGTGTTTTGAGGCTGAGGGTTTTGTTTTTTTTCGGCCTGATTGGTTTCGGCCTACATTATATCGAGCGAAAAAAAACTGGTGTTTGCGTGTGTTTTGAGGCTCAGGGGGAATTAAGAGGTTTTCATTCGTCTTGAATATTTGAATTATTTTTCGGCTTTTTTAATTTTCGTTTCATTTCTGGCTTAATAGGTTTCGGCCTATATTGTATTGGCTTTGTGGCATCATATTGTTACATTTGACGAGCAAATAAAATTTTGTTTTTTTTTGTGTTTTGAGGGCGAGAGAGACTTGTTGAATTTTTCTCGGCTTCAAGGGTTTCTGCTAAGATTTTTTCGGCTTTGTTCCGCTTGGTACATTTTCTTCCGATGCTAATATCACGTTTTTTCTTGGCATGTTGTTGTTTCAAAAGTAGCCTGATTCATTGTGATAGATCTAGGTTGGTCACATTTCCGTTTTTTCCGACTTAGCGGCTTTCTTGTTTTGTATCGCAAGTGGTGCGAAGCGCAGCTTCGCCACTGTGTCAAAAACTTCAAGACGATTTTTCTCACCACGGAATATTTTTGGAAAATTTTCAGTGTCGTTCGAATCACGTTTTAATTTGATTTATCACGAACCATTACGATGATTATTTGTGGTACCTAATTTAGCGTGAAAAACAAAAAAAAACTAAAACACCCGAAAACAAAGTTCCTTCCCATTTTTATGATCGGAACAATAAATTTTTACTAAATAAACCTCAAAAATAAAATTGAGGACTTTTTTTGTTTTCAGATAATTCATGTTTTATTTGTAACGAGTGATTAGATGGGGCTGCACATTGTGCGTGTGTTGCGCCAGGGAATCTGGGCATCCCTAACTGGCGGGTGGTACTTCGAGCCAGAACAGCACATCCTGTCCAACACTCTCCAGATGTACTTCTGGCTGTTTCTTCTCTTCTTCCCTTTTGCTCTCTACTTGACGACAGAGACGAGTAATGAGCATTTAGTAGTTGAACTAGAAAATCAGGCGCGGTTTTAGGGGGGGAATGAGAAGCAGACGCCCACACCTCCCCATCCCCCCCCCCCCAACTCCCCCTCCGCCCCTTAGGGATTTGTCCCCCAATCAATTAAAGTTTCCCCCCTTTAGTATTATTTTATGACGTTCATTTAAGGCCGACCAACCCTAAAATTTTTCTAAAGGTGCCTTCGGCGCCAATCTATACTAATTCTGTAGGGGAATTCCGTGTATCGAGTAGTGTTTTTGGCAAAATAAATCTATAAGTTGAAACTAAATGCTCATGTTTGACTGCAAAAGATGATGCAAATGTGACAGCAGTTGTTTACACAGCTGTGATTGGATTAGTCTTCATTGCTGTCCTTTTCATTTGTCACTATCTGAACAAACTCTTTGACACGTCCGAGACAGTCGAAGAAAATGAAAACGATGATGAAGATCAAACAGTAAACAATACTGACGACGAAGAAGCGAAAGAGCAAAACGATCAGCCTTCAACATCGAAGAAAGTGAGTATCGACGATCAGGATGAAATCACGAAGTCTGTTGCCGACTTGATGGCTCTCAGTGCTATGGATCGACAACGTCTAAGATTCTACTCGCAGTCACAAGAATCATTTGGCGCTCTGAGTGCACAAGTAGCGTCCGGATCTCAATTAAAAGTAGTAGAAGTAGGCGAGGTAATAGAGCCAGATAATTGTATTAAAGCAATAGGAGATAGCAGTCAAGCGTTGGAAGAGGAGAAAAATGATTTGGAGTCCACATATTGGAAAGACTTGATGTGGCAGCCTCATGATCCGAGAGTTGCCCCTGGAAACCATGGACCTCATCTGAGAGCAAGGAGGCCTCCAGACGTCGGATTAAGAGCGGAGTCTTTTCAGACTCGATCCTCGTTTCACATTCCTGAAGACTACGAACGCTCAGGTGATGCAGGAAAGAAAGTATACAGTGCCAATGATATGAAAGTGCAAAGTACAGGCGACATGAAAGACATCATAAGAGAAGGAAAATCTCTGCTAAGTACGGATTCGGAGAGCTTCGAAGTTGAGAGAAACCGAACAGACACTTCTGAAAGTCTCTTGACGTCAACAAGTCGAAAAGTGGAACCAAAGAAAGACTTCTCGAAGATAATGTCGGAACCGCAACTTACCGATGATCATAAAACTCCGTCAAATCAACCAGTAAAACCGAAGAGAGTTCGACTCAAAATCGACGACAAAGTTCTGTCTGATAATGATGCAGTGATGACAAGCAGACCTGCTGTCTTGGCGTGTCAGCCTCACAGTCGTTCCTCAGATTTGCCGACTTCATCTTTTGAGCTCGACCATCAGCTTATTATTCAAGAAGTGGAAGAGGAAATAGATGCACCGTCTCCGTTGATTCAGGCCAAGAAAATCTCAGACTGCACCGTCGTTTCGGAGTCTGACAGTCTGGGTACTAGTGGAGCACTGGGACTCAAATGCGCGTCATCGTCTAGTTTTAGTTCGGCTGATGATAAATCTCCGAAGGTGTCCTTGAGAGAAACCTATGCGGAAGATCCGGGAATTCAGAAACAGTCATCGGGGTCCCCTGTCGTTTATATACCCGAAACTCTGGTTAACAGCTTGCCTCCAGAGAAAGCAAGGCAGTTTTTGGACGAAAATGACCAGCAAGGACCCTCGACTTCAGACGCCGTGGCAATATCAACTAGACGAAGCTCGCGACCTCGTGCTGTTAACACGAGTAAGTTTCTCAACGTCATGACAGATGGTCGGCTAGATGTGAATTCGGCAGTTATGAACGATCACAACGATACAACTCCTGGATCTGTGCATTATTTTGAGGACGAAGCAGGCAATTGGGTGATGTACCAATTCGCCGAAACTCCTGAGAGCCAGGTGAATGAGTCCGAAAAAGAGCGATCATCAACGGAAGTGTTGTCATCCAACGAGCTTCAAGAAAGTGACTATGATATGCCATCGGCCTCAGCGGGAATACGTTTCAGAGGGCCTTTCGCTCAAAATCCTGAAATACGGGAAGCTTCTTTACCTTCGGTTTACTCTGAGTTTTCGGAACCCGAAGAAAGTGGGTCTCAATTTGTGTCAATGCAAAATTTCGGCGCGACCAGGAGAGGATTCAGAAATATTCTCCGAGTTCAAAGTAATTATTCGGACTCAGATGCAGTCGATTTGGATGCCATTCGAAGACCACTCGCCGAAATGGGTTTAATTGACGCACTGAATACTTCTTCGGCCATTCGCGAGTTTCTAATGGAAAGGGCGCCAAGAGTAAACCATATTACAAGCACTGCCCAAACGAAACCGAAATACAGACTTTTCATCAGCAAAGCCAAGTCGCTTTCAATGGTCGTTAATTTCAACCGGCAACAGTTATCGACACTTTTAGACGTCCGACAACATTGGATTGAAAATTTCATAACAGTTCTTCTTGCAATGATGGTCGCTTTTTTGGGATTCAAGTTGATTTCCAGTGAAATTTATCACGATTTACTGCTGTTCGCATTATGTTTTGTGATTGCTAGTGCGCAGTATTCGTTAGTCAAAAGTGTTCAACCTGACGCTGCTTCGCCAATGCACGGGTACAATCGGGTAATAGTTTTCAGTAGGGCTCTTTACTTTTGTTTGTTCGCTGGTATACTACTGGCTGTTCGCTCTTACCTCCCATGTAACCCAAATTCAGCAGCTAATTTTTCTCTCTATTCAATGCAGTTCAATTCTTGTCTCTCGTTGGAAACCGCTGATTTTCTGCTTACTTGGCTGATTGTCCTTCTGCCTATTATTTTTCTCTTCGGCTTACTGCCCCAATGCACGACTTTTGTTCTATTTTCGCTTGAACAAATTGATGTTCACATCTTGGGGGGAACTGCCAAATCAAGCTTGATAAGTTCAGTTTTCAGTTTTATTTCGAGTTCTGTGACAGTTACGTTGCTCTCGTTCCTAGCAATGTGGGCAATTGATCACGTGAAAAAGGACAACCCTTTTTTGTTCTCATTTTACTGTTCTATGTTACCGCCTGTCAGTTACTTTTTGTCCCGAATTCCAAGCGACCCGACTTTTTTCGCCGACTTGTTTCGGCAAAGGTCCAAAGGGGCGCCCGAAAGCGAATCCCAAGAATTGCCAAGAACCCTGAAACGAATATTTGCACAAAGACTGCAGAACTCAGTTTTCATTTGCCCAGTTTTGTTCATATTTTTCTTTGCGCTTCATATTTCGAAAATCTTCTGCGAGCCAATAATGAATGCTGATGTTTTGAATATATTAATGTTTATTGCAGGCGCGATTGGTTACTTGACTAGCTATTTTCTTCCCCAATTAAGAAAAAGACTGCCGTGGTTATACTTTGACAAACCATTCTTACCACTGAAAGCAGAACTGAACAGAAATTCAGATTTTTCTCTCCAACAAGCCAAAGTCATGATTCACGAATACGTTCAAATTTGGGTCCAAATTTTGGAAAAATATCTTCTTAATACTAGTGTCATAATTGCTATTACAACTAAAGGTTTGCCGCAGTTAACAGAAAGTTACGGATTGGTGTTCGGAAGTTTTCTTGGAACTGTTTTCGCTTTGAAGTTGATGAGATTCAATTATTGCGCGTTAAGCCGAATGTATCAAGTAATTCTTCTTGGGGCCATACTTTTCGGCCATGATTTGAAAAAGTACAGCGAGGTTCCATTAATGGACTTTTTCGTGGTCACGCTAATAATTCCCAAAGGAATTGAAGTTTTTAAGAAGTTGCAATTTGTGTTCACTTACGTAGCACCTTGGCAAATACCGTGGGGGTCTACTTTTCACGCTTTCGCACAGCCAGTTAGTATCCCACACTCTGGTCTTCTGTTCACGCAAGCATTTATTTCTTCACTCCTAAGCGCACCTTTAAGTCCTTTTATGGGCAGCGCCATGTTCATTATGTCTTATCCCCGTCCGATCAAATTCTGGGAAAAGGATTACAAAACGAAACGCCAGGATGTGACTAATAGGAGACTGGCATTGCATTTGGATCCCTCGCCGGTGGGCGATGAAGATGATAGTTTGAACTCAATCTACTACGAGCACTTGGCGAGATCTTTGCAAATTTATCTAGCAGGTAATTTCTTATGTAGTTGAACGTTTTTCTTGAATAGCTGTTGGTTTCCTTAGTGCTTAGTATTGAATATGATCGAATAAACATCACCTATGGGTTTTGTGGATCACACTTATGTAAAAAGGTATCTTTTTTTTTTTTAGGTGACATCGCGTTCGGACGTTGGGGAAATGTAGAGCAGGGGAACTTCTACCTAATGGCTTCTGAGAGCTTAAACTGTTTGGTGCATATAGTCGAAGTTGGCAATGGGTTTGTGACATTCCAAGTTCGAGGCCTCGAGTTTCGAGGCACTTACTGTCACCAACGGGAGGTCGATGCCATTAATGAAGAACCCAGTCGCGATCAAGGTTTCTGTTGCTGCACCGTCAAAAAAGTACCAGGATTGCTATCTCTAAACGAAGCTTTCAGTCAAAGATGGCTAGCCTGGGAAGTTCTCACAAACTCGTACATCATTGATGGCTATGATATTACGCAACTCAACTCAGCTCAACATAACTTTGCAAGTTACGAGCAGAAATCAACGCATTCGAAGTTATACGTGCAGAGTGTTATTTTCTTGTTGGTTAGATGTAAAAAACTGGATACTTGGCTCAAAGATGACTCAATAATAGCGGCATTGCATGAAAATGGGTACAGTAGCGCTGAAAGTCTGCCAGTTTTGGATCCGGCTTTCGACTCGAAACATCATCACGACTATGATCCACAATCTAGCGGAATAACAAGAGAGAAGTTTTGTAGTATTTATCTACCTTGGATTAAACACTGCGCATCTCAACAGAAAAATATAATTGATATCATAATTGAAGAGAGTGACTTGGTATCTCTATGCTTTGCTTTGGCCATATATGCTCGAAGGGCGCTTCTTGATGCGTGTAACCATCATTATGAGTTTTACCTTTTCGGAATCCATGCTCTCTTTAAAGGCGCATTTTCGCCGAGTTCTGCTAAAGATCAGTGGCTTTTTACGGATCTAGACTTAGTTGATTTAGTTGTAAAACCTGCGATCAGAATGTCAATACGTCTTCATTTGGATAATTTTATATCGCCTGATTTTCTGTCGCCGCTTGAAAGATTGTATGCGATAATTGACGAGTATGAAAAAATAGCTGTTTTCGCGCACGAAAGTGACCCGAAATGGCGGGAAGCAGTTTTGAACAACACGGAAAAGCTATTGACGCTCCGTCATGTTGTAAACGAAAGTTGTGAATCCTACAGAATTATTACCTTGCATAAAAAGTTTCTGAGTTTCAAAATTGTGAAGCTAAATCAGGAATGTGTACGCGGTTTATGGGCGGGTCAACAACAGGAGCTGATATTCTTACGTAATAGCAACTCGGAACGAGGAAGTATTCAAAACGCCAGACAGGCATTACGTAATATCATCAACTCCTCGTGTGATCAACCGATTGGCTATCCGATTTATGTTTCGCCCCTGATAACTTCATTTATTGATTCGAACAAATCGGTGCCTAGATTTATAGGGCGATCTTTGCAATTTCCAGCGTTTAAAGACATCTTCTTATCTGGCTGGAGATCTCTCGTGGAAAGATGTTTAGACGGATGCACTTCAGGAAGATACAGCGGAGCCCAAAATACCCAACAAGATACCCAAGGTCAAAATACAAGCACACCATTCGATCCACAGACGTTCATTGCTATGACAAAACAAGCGCATCATAGCCGTTCAGACTCTTTGGGCTTCAAAGATACGTCACTAAGTAATGTAAATGTGTCGGTTCCTCAAACGCAAGTCGCTGCTTCAATGGACCGCCCGGTTTTTGTATCAGCAACGTCGTTAACAAACGAAGAAACAACCCTATAGCATACTTGTACTAGTTTTTCTATCTGTGACTTAATTTTCTGTTAGATGTAATACTTAGACGAAAATATATATTTATGAACATGTTTTGAGCGTCACAAACGTCTGAACCGATTGATATCTTTGTTTTCATCACAGAAACTAATCCATGAATTTATCAGAGGGGCGAGATAGTTCTTCCGTTCCCCTGAAAAGGATCTTGATGTTTAAGAGTCACTGAATGTAGTGAAGACTCGTATATTGTTTGTAATGATTTTTTTGAAGAGTCAGTGAACGTTTTAGCGAAGATTTTATGTATGTCGTGATAATTTTTTTGGCAAAGTCTTAAAATTCGTTCAGGCTCAAATATGATTTTTTTGTGGTATGACTACTGATTTATTTTAAAGTTCAGCTCATTTCATTTGTTCTAAGGAAGGCAACTTCCACAATTGAGCAACAAAAGTGTAAAAATTTTAGAGTTCTTCAAAGGGGCGTTTTTTGAAAATTTTGGGCGAGTGATGTAAAATTTCTGGTGAGGGCCCTTCAGAACGCTCCCCCAAAGTTTTGAGGAACATATATTCTAGGTGGGTTTGTGTCTATTCAGAAGAATATGCAACAGTGTAGATCACCATTTTAAAACACCTTTTCAGTTTCGTATAGGCGCTGTTTCTGCTTGTTTCTAGTGAATTTTTGCTGGTTCGGTTATTTTTACCCGTGCGATAATCAAGGGTGTTGCAACCAGGTATTGGACTTTTTTCGGTATATTTTTTTGTTCACAAAATGATACATTTCGAAGCAAGTTCAAAATGATAAATTTACTAATTTTCATCTTACCTGTTTTGCATATATAGGGCTAGAGCCTGCTTTGTAGATGGTAGATGCAAGTTTTTTCGTGATTTTTTTTAAATGAAAATACTTCGGCGGATTTTCAGCTTATTATAATTTTTTTCTAAAAACTTAAAAAAACTTATATATAAAAACCAACCAAACTTGAAATTCTTAACCCTTTATCGGGGTGCTGTCTGGGTACACTCTGGGTGCACTGTCAGAGTCCAAATATGACTGCTCAAATCATTTTGGTTTTCGCGATAGAGCGTTTTTTATGATTTCATTTTTTGTTTCAAAAACAGATATCAAAAAAGCTAACCGAATTTGAAATTCTCAACCCTATAGTGGGATGCTGTCAGGGTACGCTGCCAGACTCCAAATATAGCGATATAGTTTTTTATTTCGTTTTTGTTTCAATCCTATGGTGGTTTGCTGTCAGGGTACACTCAAGTTTTCAATTCATTCCAAATGTGAGTTCTCAAATTTTTTTGGTTTCTGAGATGTGGCGTTTATGATTTTTTCAATTTTATTCAGAAAATTGGATTAAAAAAGCTAACCGATCATGAAATTCTCAGCCCTAACCGTGGAGTTTTGCAAGGGTACATTCAGGGCATACTGTCAGGAGGCAGATATAGCCACTAACTTAACTGCTCATATTTTTTGTAATGACGTTTCACGATTTTTTCACTACTTTTTCCAAAAAGAACTTAGATTTGAAAAAAGTAAGAGAAATTGAAATTCCTAACCATACGGTGGGATGCTGTCAGGGAACAATTTAGGGTAAAAAATCTGCCCTTTAATTTTATCTGCTCAAATAATTTAGCTTTTCCCGATATGCCGTTTTTTATGATATAGAAACCCCTGATAGATGAGCCTAGTTCATCTTCAAGGTTGCTTTTAATATAGCAGTTTTAGTACATGTTTTAGGAAGCTGTTTTTACGTTTAACGATCTGTTTGAAGCAGCATAGGTGCGAGTCATGCGCTAGTAATTAATTTAAGTTTCTTAGCTTTCCCGCGCTACTTAGCCTGAAGGTAACGAATATGCCTGGCACGGCAAAAGTCATGGGTTTGAATCTTACCAGGACCTGTTTTTTTTAACGGTAAATATTCTGTTTCAGATAAAAGCTGTCGATCAATTATTTGTCTGCTGATCTTTTTTCGGCTTAGTTGCCACATCTTGGAATCGTTTTTTTTTTGTTTTTTTCGCGCATTTGTTGAAAGGTTGCTTTTGGTGTTTCATTTACTTCTTGAATTTGTCATTTTACTAACCTTGACTTAATTTTTCCATTTTTTTTCGTTTAATAATTTTGAATGGCTTATTTTATTTCGGTCTTTGTTTTATCGGCTTAGTTACCTAATTATGGGTCGTTTGAAGGAAAACATAATTTTTAAATTCCCCTCTGCACTTTAACTTTGTTTTTTAACCACTCAGTTTGTTGAAATTTTATTTTTTCATTGTGTCTGGGCTTGAAAGACTTCGGCTTGTTTTATACCGGCTGTAGCTTTTTTTGTCGTTCGTTGCGCGAAAAAGTTTTGTGTGCCTATGTGTCCATGAGGGGAAGGGAGCGTTCAGATATTCAGTGTTTTTGCTTTGGGAGGACGGATGGAAACAAACATTTGAAAAGGGGAAGTGGTTGGCTCATTTTATGGTGAGATGACGGCTAACTGAAGTTTGTTGTGGGTTGTCGATTGTTTAAAGCGATGACTCTTGAAATGGTTAACGATAAATTCGAGGGCGGACAGCAGTTGTGGTGGAGTGAACGTTGGAAATTGTTTTGATGCCTGGCCAAGGATGAAAGGTATTTGGTGCCCAATTATTTGAAGTAATTTGTCTGAGATGCATGTCTCTGTTTTAGTGATTTGTTCGTTGAAAGCTTTAAATATAGTGAGTGTGGAAGATTGTAAACATTGAATAAAACTGAGTTTTTGCGTTAGCTGGTTGCCAAAGGTTCTTTCGCCCTTGTGTTAGTTAATTAAGAATACTTTCGTTTTTGTATATCCAATAACTGCTGGAACATTAAAGACTCATGATTTTCTCAAAACAATTGCTTTCGATATGAGGTTCTTAAACATAACTTAAAGCGTGTGCATATAACTTAAAGATATGATTTTCTCATGGAAGCCTCGAGCTAAGTAAAATTATACAAGCCTGCAGCTCGCTTACTTTTTTATGTGGTTTTTTCTTTGCTGCCTAGGGGCATAATGGGAAAAATCCAGATATATCTGTTTCATCATCAAAACAAGGTAGTTGAGCAAATTTATTTGCAAAATTGACGTACATATATTAAGTGTGCATTTCACTACAAATTTCTGTAATTACAGCGCGATGTATATAAGCCTGCTAAGTGAAGCTTAAGCTTATGCGTCACCACAAATTAATGCAATTTTTTGTCATGATTCTATGGCATGTTAATTTGAATTCTGATCATTTCATCGACACATGGAATTTAAGCTACCAGTTCGTGTGTGCTATGCTGATGTTTTACAGCATGATTCGACTCAAGATCGGCAACCTGACTATGAGCCAAGTGAACATTCGTGCTAGAATCCCCGAAGTGCCCTGTTTTTATGTTATTTGAGCTAACATCCCATAGTTTAATTGTTCTCACCCAATTGATGTGGCGTGTAAAGCCAGCTGGGCAATCTCCATTTGCCAGAATGCAGAATCCGTTTGAGTACCAGTCATACAATATTTCCGCATTGCTCTGTAGAACTTCTGTTTTCTGGTGTGTTTGCTGCATATTTTGGTCTGTCCTCGGTCGAAGCAGCTTTAAATCTTCCATCTGGTATCGAAGCAGGTTTAAGTCTGTGTTCATCTTCGATTGAAGCAGGTTTAAGTCTGTGTTCATCTTCGATTGAAGCAGGTTTAAGCCTGTGTTCTTCTTCGATCGGAGCAGTTGTAAGTCTTCATCTGCCCTCTATTTGATGACAATAAACAGTAGCAGGAAAAGAAAAAACAAAAAGATAACAGTGGCGTACGTTGCCATCCTTGTCCATGATACCAGTATGACGGCGAGTTTGTAAGAGCTGAACTTGAGCCAGGTAAAGAAATCTTACTAAAAAAGCTTTATAACAAAAAAAAACGAGGTGTTTACAATTGCCAGGCGTTGTAAATGATCAAGATTATTTCGCAGGCGAAGCGCAGTGTTATATTGTGAAGTTCTGTTAGTAACACCCGAAAGTTCTGTTTCCCGAAAGTTCTGTTTCTAGTTTTGTGATGTGAAATATGCGCAAATTATGCATATTGAGCACCTGAAAGTATCAACATGCGGTACTACTAGATGGAGTGGTCCCTACTAATTGGCTAGGTCCCTTAAGAAAAAAATGTCATAGGAACTTATACTTTGGATTAATTAGTAGAATACCAATCAGCAATGTGTCTCAATATATTTTCAAATGAGTCCATATGCATTTTTCCATATCTTTGGCGCCAGAGAAACTCGTTTAAATGGCTTTCTATCATCGGTGTATGAACCCAGCATTGATTTAAACTTTCGTTCTGCATTTTTCCACATGCATTATATGGCATTCGTGTGGACACCGGTTGATTGGTCGCCAAACCATATGAGGTGGTTGACAGTTGCATATTCGCATCGCGGAGTTACCGAAATCGCATCAATTCCGTTGTATGCACGCCATTCGTCGGAGTGAATGATGATCACGGCCTTACATATTGTTTAATTTTTGAATTGAGTGTTACTTGGCTTCTATCCACGACAAAAACTAGAAAACCCATGTTGGTTTGAGAGTCTATGCCCCCAAAAACCCATCTTTCTTTAATAAATATTCCTCTGTTTCTTATTCTTTTTGCAATTAATGATTCATCGATCTGAATTACAACCCCCTCTCCCCCAATTTTTAAAGGGTCGTCCATAAGTTTCTTAGCAGAGCAGTCGCGAAAGTAACCATACCATTGAATTGCTGTTTGTGTGGCCAGCTCGACTAATTCAATGCTGATTGTCACCAGTATTTCATGAGACCGCAAATATGCAAGAAGAATGAAGTTCCGTGTGGAAATTTTGTGATAACTTAGGAAACTACCCACCAAGAATGAAAGTTTTTGGCCTTTATGCGTGGGACATTCGCAACTTCTTCATTCCGTTCTTTACTACCGTAATTTCTCGATTACAAAGGGTGCATGCAGGTGTACTTCTTCGTATTACCCCTTTTTCTCGTAAGAAATCGATGGATTTGTCATTAAAAAAAAACATATTGAGCTATTTCCAAAATGTTCATTTTCTCTTTTCTGTTTTCCTTTTGGGTAAAACAGTT